AACAAAGTCTTTGCAAATAGGGAAGGGAGGGCAGGGGAAGGGGAAAAAAATAAGAACCAAGATACTCATGTAAAGGTACAAGATCCCAATGATGAATGTAACTGTATTGTATACCCAAAATGTACCAATAAACTTAATGGGAAAAAAAAGAAAGTGCAATATGATGAAGAGTCGTGTGATAATAGCATTTTTTCAGTCATCAAATATTTTTGAGTTTGAATTTTGAGGATTTCCAAGATTTAATTGAGGATGTAGTTTAAAGTAGTAGGCAAAGGAGAGAGAAGTGCAGAGAGCAAGTTGGTATCATGGGAGCTAAAAGAATACAATGTTGATGGTTGTCAATATTATCGATAGATCTGCTTTTGTTCAATATTATCAACATCACTGAAGTTATAGTAAGGGTGCGATGGAAAGGGGCACTTGGAATCTCCGCTCTGCTTGCACCAGTCGTGTGTGGGGGTGGCAGCAAAGGAGCAAGTGGGACCCAGTCAGATTGAGGGATGAATGGAAACAGAGAAAGAGACTAGAAGTGCAGATCTCACCCCTAAATAGATCACAGATGTTCTTATAAAACAGGAAAATGATAGAATAGGAACTACTGAAAGACAGAGCATATAACATAAAAGTATGCTAATATATTTGCAATTCAAGATGACAGGTACTTAGAAGAAAATTACAAAGTCCACCTTGACACAAAGCCCTCTAAATGTTTAAAATGAAAATCCTGTGAGTACCTGATCTTCAGGTATTATACTGTCGAGGAATGAAAGTGATTATGCCCTTTGAAAAAGGAAAACATCAGAGGATTACCCAAAGGTTTTAAACCCATAGAGTTCTTCCCTGGGAAAGGTAAGTTACATGTTGCAAATAAGCAAGCAGATAATTTCCCTGAGTCTAAGGGACAGAAAAAGCACAATGTGCTTACAGTTTCTAGGAGAGTACAGAGCAATCCGTTTTCCCATGGAACTTTTGGCATGTTTCCTTTCTTAAAGGGGGGAAGGATGCAATTTAACCTTGCAGAAGTTCAAGGAAACTTTAAGACATGAGAAAAGACTGAGTTGGGATTGGCTAAGAAGGTGGATGCTGTGTGACTACGGACAGGCTTTACGCTGGAGCTCAAGCAATGTGAAATATAGAGGGAAAGCATGCACTAAGGTGGAGAAAGCCCCGCGGTTACTGTTCTACAGATGTCTATGCTTGAGGTATAACTCACGTCTTACATGCACTGGATGTATCAAATGTATTTGAGACTATGCAGATCTTTGCATTGGGCTATATTTCAATATTAAAAGAACATTTTACAGAAAATCCATTACTAAAGAAGAAACTTTCTTCTTTGAAACTTGAAACAACAACTACAAGCAAAACATGCTTTGAGGTATGCTAAGGAATCAAAATTGTTCTCAGAAAACCACACTTGCTCTGTTTAGGAACAATCTCACCAACTGCAAAACAAAATGGCTCATTAAGCCATCTCAGGTAGTAATCATGGAACATTTCTTACGATAGACAGACAACACAGATATTCTCATGATCAAAATTGTCTAAACAAAACAAAGAAACATTTTGCCCATTTCCTGGCAGGGCAAAGTTGGAGTGAATGAAGCTAAGAGCACTGGCCATTGGGACACTGGGCTCATGAGCTAAGAGAGCAAAGCATCACCGTGCCCCACGACAATCTTCTCTTTATGCTGCTCAGGATACGTGTGGGTGTTCTTACGTAGCCTCTCCTCATTTGCGTGCAGAGAAAGTGCCTGTGTACCAGCCTCTTGATAGAAGCTTAACTTCATATTGTTTCTATTGCATTGTTTCCTCTGTTGGGAGTGATATTCTGTCTCAAAAAATAAACACTCCATTTATTCTCCAAATATTTCCAGGTTCTGTCTCTTTTGTTTCTCATTGTGAAACTGCATATATAGGGTCACAGAATTATCTTAAAATTGAGGCATTCTGACCCTTACAAAAACACTTGAATGACATGTGAGGAAAATATTCATCTATTCAGTCACTCCTTCATTCATTCTTTTAATGCCACATACTGGGCTAAACACAAAGGGTAATTCAAAGATACTGAATCATCTCTGCCCTCAGGGTGCTTATAAAACAGAAGCAGTAGAATATTTTTAACCTTTAGACAGGGCCAAATGTCAGACCATAAATATCTCAACTAGAGGTCAGTGTGTTCCCTTCTACAAATGCTTCTTGATCAGCTACTATGTTACAATACTCTTTTAGGAGCTGGTTACATAGAAGTGAGCAAGAAAGTCAAGGTTCCTGAACACATGGACCTTGCTACTTCTGGCTAAGATAGAAAAAAAACAAGAAACAAACAAACAAATAATACAACTTCAGATAGTCATAAGTACTATGAAAAAAAATAAAGCAGGTCACTACCAAGCACAGTGATAGCTGGTAAAGGTGTGATTTTTAGTTCATGAGGCCTCTATGAAGGGGTAATATCTAATCAGAGTTAGGGATATATTAAAATCTGAAGGAAGAGCTTTCCATGCAGAGAGACTAACATGGAAAGTTTTTGTAAAAAAGACAAACAGAGCTGGGCATGGTGGTGCAGGCCTGTAATCCCAGCACTCTGGAGGCTGAGGCAGGAGGATCACCGTAAGGCCAGCCTGAACTACATAGCAAGACCTTGTCTCAAAACAACCACCACCACCACCAGAACAACAACAAACCAATAACAACAAAAAGAAAAGCATCTGACTAGAGTGTGGAATGAAAGAGTGATGGATGCTGTCACCGAGGTAGGAAGGGGCCAAAGCCTACTGACTCTGTAAGCCAAGAAAAAGATTTTCTTCTAAGTGACAAAATGGAAGATTTCAAGCAGGGTAATCTTATTTACAGTTTGGATGGACTGTTGGAAACACCGTGTGGAAATCCATTTGTGGAGGTTAGGAGAGAAATCTAGCCAGAGAGTAGATGTGCTAAGAAGCCCAGGCTAGCCAGGACCAGTGAGAAATGGATGCAATAAAGTCTCATCAGGGGAACAGATTAGACTCCTTTGTGGCAGTCCTTCTACAGGTGGCAGGGTTTGGACTAGGTTGACGACTGACAAGGTGTGTGATGTGGTTCTATTCTAGGTGGAGCCTCCCAAAGCAAGTGATATGATGCAGTCAGCTTTGAACTTTAAATAATAGAGAGCACTGTGGCAGGACAAGTCGCTCCCTGGCTCACTGAGTGTCTCTGTTTTATGGCTCCGGTACTGTGCTAGAGGCTGGAGACACAGCATGCTCAGGGTTTAGACTTCATTCTGACCATGAGGTGAAGCCATGGACAGGTGTGCTGAAGGTGAGGAGGAAACTTGCTAAGAGAGTCATATTTTAAACAAAGTTACAAAGATAAGGAGCCGAACAATGTGCTCATAGAAATCACTTTGAAAATTAATTTTAAGGATATTTTCTTTTTCTTTTTTTAGTGTAGAAAATTATGTGATTAAATTCCTTGATATGCCTGACCTCCCTTGAGTTTGCTGGTGTTAAGCAAGGTGTTAAGGTTTTAAGGTGTTAAGTTTCTGTCAGTAGAAGCTCAGTTCTCTGTCAGTTGGCAAATTCCATTCAGTAATTTCCTTAGCAACTTTCCTTCTACACTGAGGAGGAAAAATTATAACTTCCTAAGAAAGAAAAAGAGAGCACACAACATAGGATAATCTCATGTACCTGGGTGCAGCCCTTACCATCCACCTGTTACTCTATCTCCAATCTTGCTTCCCCTAATCTTCCCCCAACTGGATGACCCTGCTTCAACTTTCCCCACTTCTAATTGCTCTTGTAAGCTGCTTCCAGAATTAATCAACATAAAGCAGTCCAGCCATGTCCATCCCCTGGTGCCTACAGACTGAATTTCATATTAAGGCCTGACACAAACTGACCCAGTCTACGTTTTCTGCTTTATCTCTGACTCTGCTGCTATATTCTCTAATTGTTTTCATCACGTTGGATTTTCTTCTTCAACTTTTTGATTATTTTTAAGATTGTGGTGAGATACATGTACATAAGTTACCATATTAGCATTTTTAATGTAAGTTCAGTGGCATTAAGTACATTCCCCCTGTTGTGCAAATCCTGCCTGGTTTTAAATTACTAATTATTTCCCTAATGCTTCTAGCATCTTGTTGCCTGGACCATACCTGTAATTATATGGCTGCTGCTAGCCTGAACTGCCTTTCCCATTCCTTACCAATTAAAATCCCACATACCTTGAAAGACTAGTACATTCTACCTCTTCTTTTAAAATTGTATCTGCAAACTGAAGGTCAACTCTGTTGCTAGGTAACACACAGCTTACAGTAAAAATTTGATGCCTGGCTGACAAATTGCATCTGTACCAGGAAGACTGATCTATGAACCATAAATGCATGGTAGGGATGGGACACTTTAGACTTTCCTGGATGATGACTTGTAATTAGGCAGGTCCCTAAGTCTATGGAGGTGTCATCAGAGATATTGCTTTGTAGGTGAGATGAGGCTTTTATGCCAGCAGCCTTCCTACATTCACTCAGTATGAATCTAGTGTTCTTGAACCTGAGCTGTATTTGGGGGCTAGGAGAGATACGTACCCTGTGTTAGGACTCACAGAAGAGAAATTCTAAAGCTGTACTCTTGGTGAGCAGTTTCCTATATTACGTCCTTCTAGGTCAACCGAAAGACAAGTGAAGCCACAGTAGTCTTATGTGTCTGAATGTGCAGTAGGACTTTAGAAGGCTGCCCCTGTGGGCTGCATTCATATACAGAAATATTGCACTTGCATATTAATCCTCCTCATGTGCTTGAACTTAAAACCATAGGAACCAACTGTATGTAGGACTAGGAAAAGAAAGCACTGCTCACCTTTGGAAGTAGCTGGATTGCCTGCAGAATTCTCTGTCTGTGCCCAGAATTGAGGATTCCGATTTCCAACAGATCCTGATCTTCCATAACATTGCTTCCCTGAAACAAAACCAGAAACATTACAGGATAAATCAAACATTTACACTGGAGGAAATAATAAACAACTAACAAGTGATCTGATTTGTGTAAACAATGACATACAGTCATTATTCTATGAGAGTGAGGGCAGACTGGGTCACCTAGGCCACTGATTGGAAGGCTATAGGAACTTCCCTCTCTCCACAAATCTTATTATTTATGGCTGGATTATGTGCACTGGAGATTAATTCCTGTGACTTAGAATTCTGTTACTGGGAAACTTAAATGCTTCTTGGATGAGTTGTCATTTAAGATTATCAGTGACCTCCATGCTGGTGTGAACAAATCAGCTTTTAAAAAGTACTCTGAAAACAGATTTTGCGAGGTGGGCCTATAGAAAAAAAATCAACATGTACTAGACAGGTTAAAAGTCAGGATAATTAATTTAAAAATATTTCCAGATTCCCAATCAAGATGTGGGGAAAAACAATGAATAAAATGCAGGTCTCTGCCCACGACTTCCAGCCCAGAGACAGAAATGAATTGTCCAAAGCAGTTAGAATGCTATGCAAGGCTTTGATGGTGACATTTGGAAGTCCAAAGGGGATATGAGATAGTTTTTGAAGCAAATGATATCTGAAGCGTGGTCAGGACCCCAAAGTGGAAGGACTAAAGAAATTATGTGCGATTACCTGTAAGAAAAACAGTGCACTTGGATCCATCAGGATAATTTGGGAGAAGAGAAAAAGGAAAGGATGGGAAGATAAGCAGAGACCAGACTATACAGATACTGGAAGCCATGCTGAAGGGTTTAGACTTCATTCTGACCATGATGTGAAGCCATGGACAGGTTTTGTTTTGTTTTGTTTTGTTTGGTACCTGGGATCCAACTCGGGATCTTGCACTTGCGAGGCAGGCGGCAGCACCACTGAGCTAAATCCCCAGCCCTATGGACAGGTTTTAAGAAGAGTTATATGATCAGATTCTAAATTTAGAAAGATCATTTTGGTTTCTGTGACTAAGACTTAATTTTTTTTTTAATCTATAAAATGATGAAGGTGAGCCCTGAGGACTAGTCTAGCCCTGAAAGTCTCAGATTTCAATGATTATTGTAAGCCTCTGGTTAATATTTGAATACTGAAATTTACACATTGATCATTTTGCCCCTAAATTTGAGACTTTCAGTGTGTAAGCTTCAGTTTCTCTTTAAATTGACAAGTCTAATGTCATGTGAAACAAACTAAGAATAGAAAGACAAAGACTGTATGATCTCACTCGTTCATGGAAACTAAAAAAAGATGATGTCATAGAAGCAGAGAGTAAAACAGTGGTCACAAGGCCAAGAAGGACAGGGAGGAGGGGAAGTGGAGAGGTTGGATAATGGAATTAGATGGAAGAAATTCAATCTAATGTTCTATAGCACAGTCGGGTAACTATAGCCTAAAACAATTTATTATATTTTTCCAAAATAACTAGAAGAGTTTAAAGTTTCCTTTAATGTGTACAGAAATCCTGATCTTAATATTATACGCTATACAAATATATCAAATTATTATATTGTACCCTATAAATAAATATAAGTATTATATGTAAATTTAAAAAATAAAAATATAATATTAAAAAATGAGGTGTGTATAGAAATTTAAGAATTTGGATTGCTGCCTTTCTGGAAAAATTGAACTGTCCCATTAATGTGTGACAATACACCCGAGTAGAAGGGACAGAACATCTGTTTATGGAGAGCGATGAGTAATGACAGACATTCAAAGGAAAAGAAAATGAACTAGAAAGGGTCATCCTGGGGTCATGCAGATCAGGAGGAGGCTGCTGCAGTTGTTCTACTGATGATGTGGCTTTAGATTAAGGGAGCAGTCATGGGAGCAGAAAGAAGCAGGTAGATTTGAAAGCTACAAAAGTTTGAGTTGAGACTGAATGTGTTAAATGATGGAGAAATGCGGACTTGCCCTGGTGCCACGCCAGGGCAGGAGGTGGAGGTGGATATCTTTTCTTTTTCTTATGTGCAGGGGCAGGCCTAGTGCAGGGCAAAGTAAGACTAATGCCTATTCTGGACAGAGACATAGTAGATGGATGTAAACAGTTTAATATCAGACTACATTACAAATGGATAATTGAGTGTTCTTATAAAGAGTAAAGCCATTAGAACAGTTCCATAACTAGGGATTTAAAATGAGTGTTCACTGGACAAAAGCATTCCACCTACTCGTGGTATCATTGCTATGCTTAAGCTACACCAGCCATCTCGGAGGAAGCAGAACGATCCAGGTATATAGCAGCATGATAATGAAAAGCCTAATGAAAACCAAATAAAGCCAGTCTTGGCAATATGCCACAGGAAACACTGCTCTCAAGAAATTACTCAGTGCACACAATACAGCATGGCTAAGAATATAAATGACTTCATTTTGAGAAAGCCTTATTATTTCTAGAAATGGACTGTGGTGGCCTGAGCAGGATATGTGATACTTATTCTGACTTTTACTTTTTCAGGTATTTTTGAAAGGAGTTACTGGCCCTCAAAAAAAAAACAAAAAAAAAAGATCTTTGGCCATCTGTTTACTACAGCATTTTCAGTTTTCCCATATCCTAAATTATCAGCCCACACCTTCAGCTCATGCAAAATACAGGGCCTAGATTCTCTGTACAAATATGAAGTACATCAGGATCTACAGTTCAGAGAGGCTACAATCTGTAGGTATTCCTGATATTTGATGCCCATATTTGAATACTGAGCTGATTCCAATTAAATAGACATAGCCCACTGGCCTTCCCTTAAGCCATCCTATACTATCTTTTCTTTCTTCAAGAAGGGAGATTTTTGGAAGACTTTAAGGAAGTTAGACATTTTTAAAGAAAGTGTTAAATACATGACAACATTTTGTGTTTCAGTTAAATTTCCTAGCACACAGGATAATTACTACTTTTGAAAAATGAGTGAAAAGGAATGGGAAGCATATTGCAAATTGTGAGAGTCCACCCAAAGTGCTAATTGGGAAAGGTGAAGAAAGGGAATCATTGTTTCCAATGAAGCACACAATTAGAAATTTTTATTTTGCTAATTATTCTAATTTGTTCATTATACAATATATACATGTGTAGAATCATTACACTATACCCCATGACTATGTACAATTATTATGTGTCAATGAAAAATTAGTAATAAAAAGAAATTTTCTAGCTTTTCCCCTTTCTCTAATATACAGGGATAACCAAATATCCAGAGAAGACATTTAGCTGGTGAGGGTGCTGAGGTCAGAAGACCCGAGTTTGGGTCATAATAAACCTGGGTGAGTCAGGTCTTCTTTCTTGGCTTTGTGGTTCTCACCCATAATGTACATTCAGTTCAAAAACGCTATGATTTCAGCCATATTTAACTTTTGATTAGTATCATTATATGTTAGTATAGATTGTACATTTTGAAATTACATTTTAGTGTTTCAGAATGTGTAACTAAAAGTTAGAGTTAGGAAGTGATTATGGAGAAGTTCAAGAATGTATCTTTTCGACAAATCAATCTTGAGATTATGACTAGAAAATTTCTACCAAAGAAAATAATAGAATATCTTATTTTTGCAGCATTCTAGATTCTTACAGCTTTTCAGAGAAAAATCTAGTGTTTCAAGCCTCATAACCATTTCTTTTGTACTTGGGTAATCGTTTACACCATCAAGGACCACAAACATTCCCATTCTTCCAAGGGAGTTGGAATTTATCCTCACTTGATCACTTGTCTTTATGACATGTTACAGAATTTCAGTTTAACTTCGTTATTCCTAATAAGGGCTGAGCATAAATCCTAGCTTTCTCCCTCCTCCATCCATTTTTCACATAACAATCAGATCACTGGTTTTTGCCCCTGCCTTCTGCTTCGCCACCTACTCCAGTGTACCCTCCACCTCCTCACCTGCCCAGTACACCTGCTGTCTCTAATTCATCTTCCATTTACTCCTCCACGCCCTGCAATGAGCTTTTATCTTCCGCTAACTCCACAGAATGCTCTGTTAAATGTGAAGAATGACCTCTTGATTGCCAAACTTGCTCGATTCTTTTCAATCTTGATTTCAAGGGCTCGTTGGCCACATGTGTCTGGTGGCCACCATACTGGACCACTCAGATTTAGAACATTTTTATCACTGTAGAAAGTTCTATTGGTACTAGGCTAGTGTGACAGACATTGAAAACTCTGGTCGTATTACATAGACGGGGCAAAAATGGGTCAGGGAAAAAATACTCATGTGTCATTTTCCAGATAGAATTATTTATGTGCTTCTTAGTCAAAGTTTCGTGAACATTAAATTTAGGATCTTTAGCAAATTCTCTTCTAATTTTTCTGCCATCAAAGCAAATTAGAACCTTGTTCTACTTTCACTAGTGTGTCTTTATTATAGGGTTATAAATCTGTGTTATGAAAATGACAAGTTCAATTGATAAATTATTTTCTAAGCACCTTACCAGGCACATTGCACAAGGTGTTTAGGGAATAACAATGATTTATAAAGTTGTTTAGTTAGTAACTTACTAGATGATTAAAGGCCCAAGGCAATGTTTTTATAACAGCTGTTCTTTTACCGACAAGAAATGTCTAATTCAGGAGGTCCTTATTGCTTTCTTACATCATGGAATGAAGAAAAATTACCTAATATTTTATGCACTGATAGCTGAGAGCTGAAGTTTCTCTGACCATGGGGAGAATATCTTATTCATGGGATTTTTTCAGCTGTGATAAACTCATAAGATGACCGAACAGAATGAAAAGCAGTGTTTCATATGTAATGGTCCATTAGAAATAGAACAGCTATTTATCGAAATAATCTCTCAGGGATGTCTGTACTAATGGCCCTGCCTCTCAGACTTACAGCTTGAGAGATGTTCTAGTTTTGTAATCTTAATATTATATCACATTCATTTAAAAACCCTTCCTTCACATGACATATTATATGGAATGCTTGGCAACATTTAAGGACCGTAGGGAGCTGGTTTCTTCTTAATACCAGCTTGAGTTA